GCGCTGACCGGCCCGCCGTGAGTTCGGTAACCGGGCTGCTCCGAGCTGAGCTCGGTAACGGAGCCCGTTGCCAGCGAGGGTGTCCTGGAGCCCGTTCCCAGGGAGGGCCTCCCTTGCCCGTTCCCAGCGAGGGTGTCCCCAGCCCGTTCCCAGCGAGGGTGTCCCCAGCCCGTTCCCAGGGAGGGTGTCCCCAGCGTGTTGCCAGCGAGGGTGTCCCCAGCCCGTTTCCGGGGAGGGTTTCCCTTGCCCGTTCCCAGGGAGGGTCTCCCTTGCCCGTTCCCAGGGAGGGTGTCCCCAGCCCGTTCCCAGCGAGGGTCTCCCTTGCCCGTTCCCAGGGAGGGTGTCCCCAGCCCGTTCCCAGCGAGGGTCTCCCTTGCCCGTTCCCAGCGAGGGTCTCCCTTGCCCGTTCCCAGGGAGGGTCTCCCTTGCCCGTTCCCAGGGAGGGTCTCCCTTGCCCGCTCCCAGGGAGGGTGTCCCGGAGCCCCCTAGGGTCCCTCCCCTGTGCGGGGCTGAGGCCCCGGTGCTGCTCAGACCCTGAGCACGGAGTTGGTCTCCGAGGAGCCTTTGTAAAGCTGTCCATGGTTACACGGATCAGCTGCTCCTTCAAAGATTCCTGTGCTGGCCCTTTCCAGCAAATAAATCCCTCTGGTGATTTCACCGCTGCCCTCCTGGGCAGGAGGGGGTGGGCTCCATTTTCCTGCACTGCAGCACCGCCAGGAGCTGTCTGTGCTGGGTCTGTCTCGTAATCTCCTGCACAAACTGCCCCCAGGTTTGGGGAATCTCCCTGACACGGGGCGCTCAGACTGTCTGGACAGCCTGGGGGAGATCCCACACCAGCTCTGCTGCTGGCCCTCCCTTTCCCGTGTTTATGTGAGGAACACCACATTACAAACTGCACCTGCATCCTCCACCAGGTTAATCAGTGTCAGGATGCTAGATCTGACTGAAAAATGCTTGGATGCTATTCCTAAAGGAATGTGCACTATAAAAAATGTATTTGTTCCTTTGTTTCACTTTATATTTTATCGATACCTCCTTTTGCACAATCCAAGTTCTCCATTACAACCAAGTGTCACTTTTCCCTACCACAGTGAGAAGGGACATTGCACTGGTACACGCCCAAGCCTGGGTTCCTCACTATTGCTGACATCTCAGAATTCAGGCAGAAAAAAGCAAGAACACGGAAACACTGACCTTTGTGTTGAATCATAAAGATGGAATCCTGACTGGAGGGACTGCTGCAGTTTTTCACATCATTTTGTTCTGTGTATGCTGGGAAAATAGGAGCTGCATTTGCACAGAATCAATATGTCACAAAGTGAGCAAAGGGCAATTTAAAAATGGATGTGATATTGTTAATGTCTTTAACTCCATGAACATTTGCTGTTCATTTGATAATGAACAATTATGCACTCTTGGGCTAAGGTAAGTGTAAGAGTATTCATGGACATCCTTATTTTGGGCCACAGAATACACTTTCCTTTTTATGTAATGCAATGCTTTTTTCCCAAAGATTTGTTTTTCACTGGTGCAGTTTTCTTCTTGAAGGTTACATTTACAGAAGTAGCAATTTATGCAAAAGACTCACTTTCAGATTTCATTAATTTAAATTGCTCTCTGCTGCACTGTGCATACAAAGGAAATGAAGAAGCAGACTAATGTTTCTGCTAAGAAATAAAATTAAACCCATAAGAAATCTTTCCTGCACATGAAACAACATAGATGTCTTTGCCAAAATTTCCAACATACTGTGAGGTATAATGTGACATTAATGAGCAGAATATTCTGTGTTCATCTATCAACAGTAATGCAGCTCCACAGAATTTTCTTAGGAGATTTCTTCCCTAAAAACAAAATTCCAATGATTACTATTTAATTGACATAATATATCTTTTTAATGACTGTGTCTAGATACCTGTGGAGGTGAAGGAACTGAAAATTTTAAATGCCTTGACCTTTCTGAAAATAAATTCAGTATCTTTCCAGAGGAGATGTTTCTCCTGGAGTCATTGGAAAGATTATAGCTGGGACAAGATAAAGGAATTAAATGTCTGCCAGAAGACATAAGCAAATTGCAGGCAGGAACAATAGAAGGGCCAAGACCTTGTTCTGCTGCTATATGGAAATTCCACAGACTAACTGCTCCCAAATGCAGGACTGAAGGCACTCTTAATCTCTTTAGGTACCTGGTGCAGCACCAGGCCGGAACTGTCAGAACAGGAATAATATCAAAGCTCAGCATCTAAAACTCCTGTTGTCTCTGTGTTTAGTAATGATCCCAACAACATCACAGTTTATAAACCTTACTTATGCACTTTACCTCCAGAAACAATCAGTACCTTGGAAATATGTTTGGAAATATGGAGTAGGATTCCAGACAGGCCACACACTTCTACCAGGAGCTGCATTACCATCCTGTCTTACAGAGCTGTAAAAAGCTGTTTAAAAGTATCTCCACACTTTGGAAAAACTGTTCACTGATGTTTTGACAATCTGCAGTTACAGCACTTTGAATGGCTGCAAGCTGGCAGTGCCTTAGTGGTACTGCTCATCTCTGACATGGCTTGGTGACATTTGGGATGTGTCTGTGTATGGCAGGCTTATTTGAAAGCAGTGGGTCTGCAGGATGCAATTTCTGCCATGATTCTGGTTCTGACACATCATAACTCCTTTGTTATTAAAAAGAACCATGACAAACATAATATTGCTACAATTCTTGCATGCCAAATCTATGTGCAACCATGTCTTTCCACAGCACTTGACAGGCAGACAGCTGTTTGTCCTAGACACAAGATGTCCTTGTCTAGTTTTTATTCTGTACTGCTCAGATACCCTTTAAGCCCCTGAGTTTCCTCTGCAGTATACACAGAGCATCGAGCTAGGCTGTGCAGGTTGAAAATGCAGAGTGGGTGGGAGCAGAACCCTTTGTTCAGTTCAGCTGGCTGGTCAGAACTGCAGTGCTGCCCTCCCTCCCCTTGCCTCAGGGAAGGTGGTGCATCCTGAGGGAGCTGATGAGGAACCAGAGTTCCATCTGCAGGTAGTGCTCTCTGAATCTGCATCCAGGGCATGGGACTCATTTCTGTTTGGCTCTTGACTGAGACTGAAATCTCATTAATATGCTCACTGGCAGGAGAGAGCTGGGACTGCAGCAAAGTGGGATGGCTCTGTTCTGATTTTCCATTTTGCTGGGTAACTGAGGCTGTTTTGATTGTTTGGAAACATCTACTGAAATTTTTTCACCTTAAATGAAGGCAAAGAGGGACAGAGAGAAGGATGAATCAGAAACTGCCAAGGAGGAAATCATTGGAAGAGAGATTTCTGGGCAGATTGGCAGATTAACAAGATTTTTAGTAGTGGTGATAAAAGGAACAAAAGCTTTTTAGTGGCACAATTGGCATGACAGAATAATAAGAGGGCAAAGACTGAGCAGGGGGATCGGGGGCAGGGGAGAGTTTGCCAGCAGTGGGTCTGTCCTGGGCTCTGGAGCTGAGAATGAGGAATCCAGCTATGAAAGAACAGGAAACCCCAACACTGAACTTGAGTTCAGTTAGGAAGATTTCAACAGAAAGTGGACATTAAACATAAACTGGAGAGAGAGGTTTAAGAGGGAAAGGATTAATTCAGAGAAATTCTCACAGAACAGATAAAAGATAAAATTTCCAGTTGGATCAAAGGTGGATTTGAGGAGGAAAGCTGCATGAAGACAAGTGATAAATAGAACAGGTTGGTGAGATGCTATTAAACAGACATGATGGGTTTTTTTCCTCATTAGAACAACTGTCCTAGCTTAACTCACTGCTTGAAAATCTCACTTGTTAGCCCTAAATGAAGCAGGGGTTCTTTGCTTTATTTCAGAGTTTTAGGATCCCACACAGCAATTCCCTGCTGACCCTGGCCAAGAGACTCCAGTTCAACTCACTTTTCTCAAAGCTAGGGGAGCCAACTGTGCTTCTCGAGTGGAGCTGAAAGTGGAACCAGGAACTCCAGGGTGACTCTTACATGAAATTATGGATTAAATGATCAATAGATATCAGCCCACTCAGCTGCTGGCTATAGCCCTGAACAGGAAAAAGCTGATGTTGGAAGGGTTGCATGGACTGAAAGCTGAATATTGATCAGCATCTGCAGGGGAGAACTTGCTGAGGGGGGCCTTAGTAAGTTAGGAAAGATCCTGTTGTGCCTCTCCTCCAGGAGATTGCTGCAGCATGTAGAGATGCTCAGAGCTAATTGAGCAGTACTTTATCCCTCAAGCTGCCTCAGGATTTCTCTAAGACTCCTCACTCAGTGGTCAGATCTAATATCTTTACTTCCTAAAATACCTTACCAATGAATAATCCCACTGCAGTGCTGGAGCTCACGTGTGGGTTAACATGCTCCATGACACAAGTGACTGTGCCAGAATTTGGCACTCATTGATTGCTCTGCAACCAAAATTCTTGTTAAAGTAGCAGGACATATCTCTGATTTAATGTACCATAGCTTTTTCCTTTCCCCTAAGTCTTGCAAAGACACCAATTAATTGTTTCTTACCTTGATTTTATGCTGATTCTCTACACAGGACTCATCTACACTATGAGATGGCATCAAGGGCCAGAGCAGAGGCAGACCAGCTCCTTCTGTATTCTCCTTCCTGGACTAATCTATGATGTTGAGTTGTTGGGATGGATGCCAAATCTCTCAGTTACGTTTTAATTAATTCACAAAGAGGCAAAAGTTTGAGGGGAGAAGAAATTAACATATAAAACATGTATTCATGTATTATATGAATTTCAAGTATTTTCACATTAGAGGTATTTTCTGAGGCCACATTCACACTGTCCACCCACCTGTATTGACAGAAACCCCAGCCCTTCCCTCCATGGCCAAACCTGCAGCAGGTCCCTCTGAGCCAGCCCTGCTCTGTGGGCAGTGGCCTTGGCAATATTCACAACATGAAGATTGAATAGTGTAAGCATGGCCCAGAGAATCTGAAAGAACATTATGAAATGGAATGATCTATGTTGCAGAAGGTCAAATAACAGTTTTCTGTAGCTGTGAAACTATTTCAAGAGATTATTAAAAACTGCCGTTTTCTCAGACACATAATGGTTCATGTGCTGCTCCCAAAAGGCCTTCCACACACTTCCAACCTTCATCAACAGTCAAAACGAATGTATCTTTTGTTGTCTTGATTAAAGTCCTCCATTTGCTTCCTCTGGGACTCTGAAAGGGCCCATCTTTGCATGGCCAGCTCTGCCAAGGCTGGCAGCTGTGTCAGTGCTGCCAACAACTCCCCAAACCATGGCCCACAGTCCCGGCAGGTCGATGGACTGAGGCTCATATCCAGCTCTGAGAGTTCCTTAAATGCTCCTAAACCTTGGCAGAAAACAGCCCAGCCTTCATCAGAGATGGTGTTGTTATAACTCAAATCCAGCTTCTGCAATCTGGCCAAGTGGCCATCTTGCCTCAGGGATGCTGTGAGAGATGACAGACACAAATACAATTAATAAATCCTGGTAACTGCTTTAAAAGCTTCTCAGAATAGGGAATTGTATTTTAATACCTCATTTCAGCAGTCAAACAGCAAGATTTAACTCCTCAGCAACATAAAACCACTTGCTGCTGATCTGAGAAAGACAGTTTTATAACAGCTGAAGGAGTTTACAACATTTAAAGCACAGGCAGTTCAAAAGGAACAAAGTACTGAGTTAAAAGTGTGTGGTAACCCGAAAACCTTGGAGTCAGATGGAAGGAGGTTACATCAAGTGCCAATTGTAAGAGGCAGACAGGCTTTACAGGGAGATGAGGAAAGCAAAACTAGGTGAGGCTGTGTGACTGACTACAACAGCCACCTCTCACTGTGGAAGGGCCAAATATACCCTAAAGGGTTCCTTAACACATGATTGGCAAAGGAGACACCCATCAAGGGTGATGGTTTTTGAAGTCAAAAGTATTTGGGCTTCACTTCACCAAATTTTACATTCCAGGGCCTTACAGTTGTCACACAGCTATTGCCAATGTCAGACACAAACCCCTGAGTCAGGTCCACAGACTCAGAAGGAAGAGTATAAAATTAGCAAGTTTTTAAAAGGATCCTAGAATTTATTCCTTTATAGGTTCCCATTTTCCAGTATTTCTTAGCAGCTGCTAAGAGGTGGGTGAAAACATTTCTGGTTTAATTCTTCCCCAGTAGTCTGACTCCAGAAACCCACCTAATGACTGGGAGCTGGTAGTGTCTGTATTCCTGGCTGTCAGCACAGATATTTTCTCTAAAGAACTGAGCCATAAAACAGCATCTGAGCAAAATAAAACTCCTCAGATGCAGCTTTAAATATTTGATATAAAAAACAGATGCAAACCCTACATTTTCTAAGTTATGCTGCTTTTGTTTTTTTTTCATAGATAGAAGTGCTTAAATATTCTTTGCATTTTAGCCTTTTCAGCTTTTCCATTGGGTATGTCCAGGACACACAGAAAAATGAAAGCCCTTAGTGGGAAAAATACTCCTGTATTTTCCATGTTTTCATTTGATTTATGCAAAAACATGCTTAGCCCATGGAACAAGCCCCTTCTGAATTGTGGTCTAAACACCCTAGCTCCTTGAGTGCTAGTAAATACCATGTTATACTTACTTAGAAGTGCCAAATCTTCAGCCACCAGGTTACAGCTGCTCAGTCTTAACACTCGAATCTCCGTTGCAAGATTTAGTGCTCCCAAAAGCAGCTTTAGGTTCCCACCAACGCACTTATTCCAAGAAAGGTCTAATATCTCCAGTTCAGGAAGGTGAAGGGCAGCCTCAGCTGAAAAGATTAAGACCAGCAACTTCTGCTTACTAAGAGAAAACAACATGGCCTCAACAGACACCTCACCTGCAATTCACCCGTAAGTAAGATCCTAACGGCCTGAATGTTTGTGCTTAAAATGAATTCTTTTATCTCAATAAAAGTCAGACAAAAGAAAATAAGAAGGCTCTGCCTATAGAATCTATCAGGACTCTATGGAGAGGGGGTTTTGTCTTTCTATTCACATTATTGCCTTGGCCTTGTTGCACTGAATTAATTTAATTCAACAGCTTGCTTTTAAACCATTTAATATCAATTTAAAGACAGCAATTCTTTTTGCTGTGAACTCACTGTTTAAGGTGAGACGCTTTATATCTTTTGACAGTTCTGATTTCCATGGTGTCCCTCTTACATAACTGCAGTGATATAAACATAATACTCTTTCTGCAAGGACCTCTGACCAGCTTAGCTTGCTACTGCTTCTGCTGGAGGCAGTCAAGTCTTACTCCAGGTTTAATGTCACAAGTACACAGTATGAAATACAAGTGCACAAGACACAGTAACTGAGAGATCCCTCTGTACTAAGATTTCATGTGCCATATGGAACACCTATCAAAGGCCACTAATCCAGAGATTTGCAATAAGTAGGTAAAAGAGGCTGAATTTACATATCCTGTGCTAGATTGGACTTTTCTTCACAGCTGTGCAATATCTTTTCCACCCCTGCAGTCATTTCCTCCACTGCCCCATGCTGAACTCTACCCCAGAAAGTTTCTACTGAAATTTTCACCTGCAGCAAGGTTAAATACTCTCAGTCAAAACTTCACCACACTGAGTGAAGTGTTACATCCAAACTATGATTACAGCATAATACAAAATCATGTTTTTCTATTTCTCCAAAATTAAGGGGTATATAAAAGCTCACTATCAGACAAAGCAATAAAAGAACTTCATCCCCTCAGGTATAGTAGAGGAAGTCATACAATTCTCTTCCCTTGCAAACTGGTCCCACAGAGCAGTGGTTTCATCACAGGCTTTTTCACTCAGGACCTGAGGTATAAGGTAACCATGATCCTTGGAGTTCAGCCAAAGGAGAAGGGAATGCTTTGTCCTACAGGGATACACAGAGAATGGGCACACTTTAAAGAAACATTCCTACCTAGTGATGAAAGTGACTCTTCACCTAAGCCACAATTGCTGATGGTCACAGATCTCAGCTTTGGTAAAAACCTGAGCCTGCCCAGAAGAGGATCTGATGAGAGTCCTACATTTTTATTTGAAGATAAATTCAGCTCTTGAAGATTGGAGAGTAAAGGTATCACCTGGGCTACAAAAACATGAAATATTTATTAGATAGTCGTTGATCCATAACAAATGTGTAGTTGCATAGCCTGACATAATTGTTGTGTAGCCTGACATAATTTCTTTTATTTATAAATCAATCCAAAAGTCAAGGCCAGCCAAGTTTTTACACCCAAATTCATGGTGAGTAATGTTTTAGACCATAAATAGCCCTGTCATTTTCAGTAAAACTGTTTCAGCAGTTAAGTATTCCATACTATACGGAAGGTTGTTAGAACATGGCTTTCTGAACATTTTTTGGGTGAAGTAGGGAATTTCCAAATGTCTTCATTGCTAAGTGAAACTTCTTTGTCTTAATGTTATTTTTCTCTATTATAAAATAAATTAAAAATAAATCACAATTGATATTACTAATACTGATTATTTCCTAAAGCTTCATTGTCATCATCATCAAATCTTCAAGTTACCTTCTTTGTCATGGAAAATAGGATGTGGGCAATATAGGCTTTGAGTCATGGGATTTTTTGTTGTTAAGAGTAGAAACAAAGTTATGATAACGGAGAGAGAGAAATAGACCGTCTCACAAATTGATTGGGAAATGCCTTTTTCTTCATAGTAGTGTTTATAGTTGCATCAATTCAACCTGGAGAAAGCACACAGCAGCAGCAATGCAACATCTCCTAAAATCACCCTCTTCTTGGTGTGCAGCTCACCAATGGGTTTTAGGCAGTTATATTTCCATGCACATACCCACCATGGATCCATCCAACTTATACCCCTGGGGGCTCTGCCCCTGGATATTTCCTAAATTACTGATTATCAAAAAAAAAGCAGTGTTTGGTGGCAGTTCCCACATTCCCACTGTGGGTCTGAATCATGGCAGATTCAGGTTCTTAGTTCCACATGGGATCAGACACTCTGAGATTTCCTTTTGTTCAGCAAAAAAACCATTCCATATTGACAAAGAAAGCTCTCCCCCACACTGCATTTTCAGAGCTGCCTAATGAAAAAAGCACTGAGCTCAGCTCTTCTGCCAGGCAGAATCTTTTATGTCTTTGAGATATTTTCAGAAGACAAAACCAAGATTCTTAATAAATTTCCTCAACATGTCCTTACACAAAACAGTCATGTCCTCTTCTGTGACACAGCACTGGTGAAGATCAAGGACTTCCAGATTTTTCAAGCTGGCCAAGTGAGCTGTTGAGGCTTTAAAGCCACCACCAATCTCTCTGTTACATGAGATGTCTAATTTCCTTAGCTCTGCAAGGTGCTGTAAAGCAGTGTCTGAAATGCAAAAGGGAACAGGCTGGTCACTGTCTGCCACAACAGCCAGGTCAGGGCTTTGGCATTTATTTACTTCAACGTCAAAGTTTGCACAAGGTATTGCAGGCAAAGCTCCTGGGCTAAGCTGCAGTGTATAATCACAGCAGACATTCAGTAATGCAGCAAAGCCTCCCTGTCCATGCAGCTCCATTCTTCTCTGGGAGAGCAGGTGAAGGTGAGGCCAGCTCATCCCCTACATCCAGTCAATCCTCAGCCTTTTGCAGAAATTACTGCTGGATGTTCTCATTAATGCCAGGTGTTTTGCCACATCCACCAGGGAGAGACACAGATAACAAGACCATTTCATGTGGCTTCACTGGACACTTTAAGTGGTAATGGTGAATTTGGATTTCCTTTGGAAAGCAGGATTAGCTTGTTAAAAGTTAGCTGACCTGCCTGTGTCCTTGTCTATGTTCTGTCTGGGGAAAGAGGAAGCACATCCAGGGAGCCACAGCTCCAGATGTGTCTCAGATAAATGGTGTGGAGGGTGACTCTCCCCAATGACTTTCACAAGCTTGAGCTCAGGGGAGATAAATTCAGCTCCTGCTGAAAGGCCCTGTAGTCTTTTACCAATCCTCCAAGAGCAAATCATGATTGCCCATTAATACTGCCAAACCATCAGCAAAATCCCACCTCATTGCCTTTCTTAAATGGTTTTCAGATGTACAATATATTCAGAATGAAAGTTTTCTGAAGGTAAAGTCTAACCTAAGCCCTGGAGGCTGTCTTGCTTTAATCCACACATGTGCAAGTTTAACTCTTTCAAGCCTGGCACATTTCTCAGATCCTGAGCAATAAGCTTCATGCTGCAGCCAATGTTTTTGTTGATAGAGATATCTAATACTTCAAGGTTTGGGATCACATTTAGAAGTTCAGCTGGGAAAAAAAAAAAGAAAAGAGAAGAAAACAAGAATTGGTAATTGTCTGGAATACATACAAGATGAACCCTAGAAAAATACAGCACCATGATAAACAGGAAGACGTGGCCAGGGTTTGCCTGTCAGTGTGGTTTAGACTTGCTAAGTTCCTGTTCTACCTAAACAACACTGTAAATAAAGACTGGGTAGGAATCATAAAAATCTGTGAAAAACATTTATAAAAATAAAAATGGAAAAAATACAGGGATTGTTAGAAAAATACAGAGGAATAAAAAGCAGAAATACAAACAGAAATAAAATTTTCTAATGAAAATACATAAGAATGTCTGTTACATATGGGGCTCCTCCTGCAGTGGAGATGAGAGTCATGGAGCTTCTCTTTACTGAGTAAACACCTTTTAAAACATACAATGAGATAAAAAGACCACACAGGATTAAGCTGCTATGGTGAGAGGACAGAATGGTCAGTGGTTGCCAACTCAGCCTAAATTCCCAGTCCTCAGACCTTCTTTCCAATCCCATGGCTAATTACATATTCAGCTGTTTAATTTTGAGCAATTAGTGTTGGAAATTCTGGCACACATTTTTTGCTGAAGGTCTCAAAAGATCCAGAAACCCCAGACCACTGAGGCAGCCAGACTGTGGTTTAGGTCTTCTCAACCCTCTCTCCTATGATTAGAGACAACAACTTTCTTCTTTGGAAGCAAGTGCACTAAGTCCCCACATCATAAATACTGTTACAACGCAGAGCTTGAAATAAATTAACTTTTCACTGATATTGAGCTCAGTACAGCCATTATCTAAGTCAAATAAGTTTAATTTTTGTGAAGCCAGCCTTAGCCCAGCTCCATGGACACACATACCAAGGGATTCTCCATCCTTTGCTGTCAGGTTACAGTCCGTCATTTTCAGACATTTTAATTTGCATCCTTCCTGAAGTTTTTTTGTCAGCAGTGATAGTTTACCACCAATGTTACTGTTCCATGATAAATCCAGTTCTTCAAGCTGAGAAACAATTTCAAATGCCTCTCCTACAACAGAAGTCTAGAATGAGTCATTCCATGTATCAATTTCAGTGCAAACAAAATACAGGTTTGGAATATATTAAAGAGGAAGGTTAGCTACTTAATACTCAAGTTACTTTATTATTAATATCTTGCCAGGAAAATTGTTAAATAAATGAATTATTGCTTCTGCAGCAATGTTGTATAAAATCTCACATTGTCTAAGGAGCAACATAGATCACAAGTCATTGTCACAGTGCACACAAACCTGAAATTTATTCAGGTTCCCAAACCCTCCTCAGGTTGTTTGGCCTGTGCTGGGACCAGAAAGTCCAGTCTAGAGGGAAATCAGTACAAGTGACAAGTCTGAATTTACTGTCCTGCAGAGTTCTGCTCTGTTTTATCTGGCAGATTTCCAGCATCCTCTGTACTGCATCCACAGGTCATTTTGGAAGGAATGAAAGAATTCCTCTCACAACTATTTCTGAAACATGAAAGTTTCATTTCTGACAGGAATTTCTGAATCATTTCATAAGAAACCAAGATGAGCACTGTTTTGACTCAAACTAACTTTTCCATAATTTCAAGGCAGACAGAACTGACTTTTACTACATTCAGAAAAATCAGCGTTTTCAAGGCTTGGCACACCTGTCAGTGTGAACTGTGTTAGTGCTTATTTGAAATACTGACATCTCACTGTAAAATACAGCTTCCTAACTTCCTTTGTAGAGGAGGGAGGCAGAGCATATTTGCATAAACTCATTCCCAAGAAAGATCAATTAATCAGACCATATGCAAACGGAATTTCAAAGTGTCATACACATTTTTTTGATCCAAAGTCTAATAATTGAGAATTGTATTTTAATAGTAACATCCTTTCATGTCTGTGTGGTTTTCATAATTAATTTTTCACAAAAGATTTATAATAGAAAGATAATTACTTCCATAAGTGAATATCTGGGTTTGAGAGGAAAGGCCACATTTTAATTCTTATTTTTGCATTTACTTTAAATTATTGCCTCAGTGTTGAATACTGAGCAATGCTCTACAGTTGAGAAGTGCAGCATTGCCTGTTCCTGTTTGACATGAGGACCACAGATTTCCAGACACATTTTCCTCCCAGAAGATAAATAAAGGAATATAACTCCAGGAATTGTTTCCTATCACCTTTCACAGTCAAGCTCTGAGCAACTACATAGAATAGGTTGATATTATGGTTATATTTCAGACATTGATTTCTAAGCAGGATGTGCTGAGTCCACAAGAGGCCACATTTCTGCAGAGAGGTGTGGACAAGGTCACACAGCCAGGATTGGCCTAAATACACAAGTTGTTTTCAAAATCACAGGCAAAATCAATGCAAACTGACTGTTGCTATTCTACGTGTCAAGGGCATCACATTTTGTCTGGAAATTCAAGTTCTGTGATCAATTTTCTGTCTGTCCCAGCAGAAGCTAAACTGAACTGGGAAGGAAACAGCATTGAAGAACCTGGCAGAAAGAATCAATTGCAAAAATAACCAATAAAATTCAGAAGGAGAAAAAGAACACCAATGAACAAAAACCAAATCTATGAGAAGGGTTTGGAAAAGAATGAAATAAATTTGAAAAAATAATAGAAAATTAAATACAGATTTCCAACTCATTGGAAACAGAACAGTTATTTTCACCAGCTTTTGTAGAGATGCTTATTTCCTCCCCAGGAGATTGCATGACTCACTTTTGATCTACCACCATATATGTAATTTTATTTCTGAACCTTTCCTGGAAAAGGCTTGGATATGAATGACATAAACAAAGCCCAGCTTTATAACTCAGACCCATTTTAGAACTTTCAAAATAAGCAATGACTTTTATAATTTCTAATTGATTGTGTTTGTCCTTCTTTTAAATACAAACCACAGATCTACTCCAAAGTAAATTCCAGGCCCAGAGGTGACTCCATGCCAGAAACTGACTGTGCAACACCACCTTAAAAACCTTTCTACCTCACACTTTGCAGAAAGCAGGGTGCAGGCACTCCAAGCAAAGAAGTAAGCAGAGGAATAAATTTCTCCCAGAGTTGAAAAAACACCAAATCATAAAGCTCTGAGGCAGCACTTCTGGTTTTAAGTCTTCTCCCAAAGGACCATTGGGGTTTTCATGATGAGCACTCACCTGTCCTGCAGCTCCAAGACCTAAGCTGACCCTATTGTGATTGACTCTGCTTCTAGGCAAAAAAAAATGCAATCCAAATTAAACATATTCTTTCCTGCAGATAGGACTGGATTCTCTTCTCTTCTGAGTATGAAAGCTTCACACCCTGAGGAATGAACTCTGCAGTTACCTAAAGGTGTAAGGTCACCCATAAGCCCAAGTTTCTACTGTTTCACAGCAGGAGTTTACTTTGCCCAGTGTGGAAGCAGCAGGAGTAGGATGTAGGAAGAGATGAGATGGATTACATTAGCCCCAAGCTGTCTGGAAGTAAATGTAAATGCAATCCTGTACCTAAGGAGATGACATCCTCAGCTGTCAGCCTGCAGTTGTTAAGTCGGAGGACTTTTAACAGGCTCACGTGCTGAAGATGGACAGTGAGAGCTTTCAAAGTCCCTCCAACACCTCCATTCCAGGCCAGGCTGAGCTCTTCCAGCTCTGGGAGAAATGGCAGTAAAGAAGCTGTAAGGAAAGAAAAGAAAAAGGTTTTCTGTTTGCACACCCTGGATATCACTACATCTTGAGATGTTTTCTACAACCAATACAGAATTATAAAGCCATGACAATTTGTACCTCACTTTTCTTATCTGTAGCTTGAGTGTAAGGACAATAATCTGCATCACAGACCTGCATGATTTCTATATTTATATGTATTACATAATCGACATAATTTATTAATTAATATTTCTCAGGGACCTGGGACCATTAGATGAAATATTAAAATGGCCTGTATAAAAGAAAGAGAAGGGAAAAGAGGAGAGGCAATAATAGAACAGGCAAAAAAAATTAAAGAAATACATGAAGTGATTAGTTGAATAAAATGTGCATTTACCCAACTCTGTTATATCTGCTGCACTCAGTGCACAATTATTTAGATCCAGATTCTTGCTGCTGGGTTTCTTCCCCAGTTTCTCCATGAACTGGTTAAATCTCTGCTCACCAGATGGTGACTCTGCTTCAGAAGTGAGATGTGAAAGTCCATCTGAGCAACAAAGAAATAGGGCCCTGGTTACCTCTGCTAATAAACACAAGGTGTAAAACCTGCCTGAGGCTGCCAGGTGAAGACTTTAGGAAATGAATTAAATCTGACAATGAAGCAGGCTCTATTTTTCATCAATGTGGACCAACAACCTGACTGATAAGATCATTATAGATCAAATCAATACAAAAGTCCTCCTGCATTTTCATACAACATCTGTGTAAGGTAGTTCCTGCTTTTCTGAGCTTTGCAAAGCAAAAAAATACAGCAAATAGCAATCCACTCTCAGTAGCTGCCCTCTTATCATTTCCCCAAACTGACCCAGACCCCTTAGGACAAAGGACGGGGTTCACCTTCCATCTCCTTTTGAAAAATAGTTCCATTTTCTCTGGAGTGGATGTAAAGAGTATCCTTGTGTGTGCAAAATAACATCCATGAGGGATTCCCATTCCCTTCCTCTCCTCCTGCCCAGTGCCAAGTGATAGGAAACATCTGCTCCTGCTGTCTTCAGACTGCTTTAGCAGGACAGCAGGACACTGACCCATCTTAAATACAACAGGCCAAGCTACTGCTCAAAGCTTGCCTCTGAATCCAAATAAGCTCTGGAACTAAGGAGCTGACTTCAGCACTGACTCTTACACTGCAGACCAAGAGAGAAGTCACCCAAAAGCTTTACCCTTCCTCAGCAATGTGGATCTAACTCCTTGGTTAGCACCTATCAAATCAGAGGGTGCATCTTTGATAATGTTCCAATCAGAAGTAAACCCTGGCTAGAGGATAAACTGTAGGCAGCAAATACAGGACTTTGGCTAGCAAGAAAACAGCTGATTTTCTATGAAATTAAAATATTTACACATACACATGTGTTTCATTATTGTACCAGCATTACCTTCTACAGAGGAATCTTGCTTTTCACTCTGATCATCACTTCCATCATTGCTTATTTCTGTTTCTTCAATTTCCCTTCTGTCCTTGCCTTCAGATTTCCCAAAGTCAAAGCCTTTGAAGAACTGTTTGATGGCTGAAGGCTGCTCTTTCCTTTTTTCAGGAGCACATTTCTTTCCTTGGAACTGTTTTATAACAAAATCAAATGGGGAACTCTTCAGGTTGTCCTCTTCATGTCTGTCCTGGCAGTTCTGGTCATCTTTCAGGGGATCAGCAGACAGAATAAGTGTGAATTAGAATTAGAATTTAGTAATGTTTACTCTTGCTTACCTTTTTTCATAATGGCAGATGCACTGAGAATTTGCCACCGTTCCTCCACCCAACCATGTATCATAGCCATGATACAAGTGTTCAAGAGCAGAGCACTTAACAATCACAAAAAGCTGAGGCAATGTTTAAAATCTGGCATTAACTGTCGTCACAGTTGTATTCCTTAGAAATACAAAAATGGTACAAGCCAATGTACCTTGATATACATGCACTGTTACTGAGCTGTAGAGCAATCCTGCTTTCCCTGGCTGTGATTTCCTTCTGTAGAGAGACATTATTTTAAACAAAGAACATACCTGTCTTTTCCATGGCTACACCTGCGGTTCCCTTTCACACTTTTCAGTTTTTACAGCACTTTCAGGCTTTGTGGGATAGGTGAGCCATGGCATGCAAACAAAACCTCACTCATTTCCTTAATAGGAACTTTCCATGCAGTTTTCTCTCACAAGTTTCTGTCTTCATCAGTTTGACAGCAGCAGCTCTGCACAAGTGGTTTGTTGGCTCTTTCCTGATGCCTCTATTCCTCTGTACTCTACCCCAAAGTCTGCCGGTCTTGGGGCTGACAAGTCCATTTAAATGCTCCGATCATGTCCCAGCTTCGATCGCTCTCAAGGCAGAAATCAGGAAGTGGCAGCAAAATCTTCGCTACTGCTCACAAACCACTGCATGCCCCCGAGACAGCTGTTGTTAGGAGAGGCTGAGTCACCGCAGAGATCAGATTACAGGAGTACCCGAAGAAAAGCTCTTTGTTTTCCCACCCCTTTTGTCCATACTGGTCAGCAAAGTGCTGGAGACACAGCTCAGTCAGAAAAAGGGAGGACGGACACTCCTGATCATTTTAGGAGACACAAGAGAAGTCACGACCATCTTCTGGGCAACACCACGGTACAACATTACAATGCAATCATTGGATACACCTAATGTACACTTCAAACTCCACTATATCTTTTTTTTTTTGTCTGTCTGTCTTAAAGTCTGATTTCCTCAATGGCGAACATCACAATTTCTGTCTTTACCCTACTCACGGCCATTTCTGCTGAATCTCTTTAGCCTTGATAATCTTTTTCAGTCTATGGGGTCTTGCCTTTGCAGGCTAAACCAGGCAAACCCTTCTCCCCTCCTGTGGCAAACTCTCCATTTCCTTTATCATTTCCTGCTCACCTTCGTCTGCACCTGGTGCAATATAATTTCTACTTCCTTAAACACAAGGGACCATCTACTGTCTGTATACACTAAAGACATATGCAAACTGGAGTGATTTTGGTGGGGAATGATAAAGCTGGTAAACAAAACCAACAATTCCTTTGCAAGCAGCTGAGCAGACACCAGCCTGAGGAAGAGCTTGACTCAGGGTGAAACTAGACAAAGGATTCAGACAGGGTGGAATGAGGCACAGGGTGCTGCAAGGAGTCAACAGGATCTTTCTTCTCAAGATGAGAAGAAAAAGTGAACATCAGGAAAATCCTCTTGTCCATGAGAGGTACCATGCTGGGAAACATTTACAGCAGCTAGAAATGCACAAAACCATTGTGATCAACTATCTTTCTCTGTGGAAAAGGAGGGCACATTTCTATTCCAAACAGAAAGGAGCTCCAAGTTGACTTTATGGTTTTCTGACACCAGGAGTGGCTGTCCTGTCTCTGTTTCTGAAATCAGCATTTCACTACAGAGTGTATCCACATCAAAAATTTGTGCTAATTCAGGTGTCCAGGCATCTCAGCTATGCAGACAATGGAAAATCCCAGTATTTCTGTTGGTGAAGAAATTCATTTGACAGTTCTTTTCTTGTGCTTAACAGCAGAGTGACTGGGAATGAGGCAGAGACCAAGCACCCTGTGTTTGTGAGCATGTCCTGGGCTCTCCTGGCCCAAGACTTCTCAATGCCCACTGCAGTTCAATGAGAACAAGGAATGGGAATATTTGATGATCTCTGTCCTGTGAAACTGGGGAAATCTTTAGGCATGTTAAGCACTTATTACAGTGGTTAGGCCAGGCTAACTCACATGCTCTGACATCAGTATTTCAGGTGATGTGCTGCCAATTCAGAAGTTCTTTCACCCCTTGAGGCTGTTGAATGACAGTGACAATACCCCAGGGCACTCTGACAGCATCCCTGTAATTCAGTCAGAAGGGAAACACAGTGAACAGGTCTCCACTTCCTAAAAAGCAAATCCTTACATTTTTTTACATCAGCTATGAGAGAAGAGGTGCTAACAGGATTATCCCCCCAAAAAAGCAGGCTGAGGAGAGTGAGGTGGCTGCACTAGGCTGCAAACATGAGCAGCACTTTGCAGTGGGCCCAGGCTGTGCTGTGAACATGTGAACATTACAACAGCCAGGCCCAGCCATGCCCTGTTTGCTGCTCTGCCCCTCTCCTCCCTGCCACACTTCTGAACAAGTGTCCTGCTCCTGTCAGAGCCCTGTGTCTGCTTCCTACAGCATGTCATGGACAGCACAGGGCAGGCTTAGCTTTTGGAGTTTAAAAATAATAGATGCCTTCCCCTTTCTATCCAGTTAAATGGCCTGTGACCATCTGCCAAGTGCTCAGTGTCACACTTGTTTATATCTACTCTTCCCTCTGTCTAGACCTGGGGCAAGGTTAGGAACAGAACCAATTTTGGAACAAAATAGTTTAAGTTGCATCCCACACAGTATCCATCGGGGAGAGATTAATGTGGATTTTTGTACTTTGCCTCATTGTGACTCCTTAATCCGGCATATATTCCAAAGAAATAATGCCATTAGAGGATTAGTGCCACAAGTTCATTTGAAAAAAAGGATTTGCAAACACTGAAATCCTATATTCTATGTGCTTAATCACTGAGTATCATTTTGGGGATTTCCTCTCCCTTTAGTAGTGTCTCTTTCAATGAAACCCAAGCAAATCAGCAACTCTGGTTTGGATGGCCCTTGTTATCCACTAAAGGAAAACAAAGCCCCAAGCATCTGGTTAAAATAATAGAGAGTCTAAACACACTGGACTAAGCCCATCCTTGCTGTTATACAATCACAGTTACATCAGGGAGGCACTCAGCCCAATATTTATATAGAATGTAATGATTTGGGATATCTGTCTGTTAGAGATTTTTGATAGTCTGAGTGCTGCAGCACTTAACAACACTGTGAGCCTTGTTTGCTTCCATGGCAGTTCCCTTCCCCAGCTTTGCCTCTGCAGGATTCTCTTGCCTGGCCTGATTTATTGGGGGAAGTTGCATGGAGCAAGGCATTGGTGGGGCTGGAAAAGTGTTCATTGCCCCCATGGGTGACTTTGGCAGTTCCAGGTGTCACACTCTTGGGCTGTGCTGACTCAGAACACTCGTGCCAGGAGCTGCTGCCAAGGGAAGGTAAGGGAAGAGTGCCCTGGTCCAGCACCAGGTTTGCTGCCCTCATCTTTCCCAGCCACATGCATCACACCATGCTCTCCACAGCTCTCTCCATCCTCTCTCTCCTGCTCTGTCCCTTCCATTCATCCTTTGACTTTGACCCCTCATATCTGGGGCAAGGGAATTCAGCCTTGCCCACACAGCTGGGAATCCCTCAGCTGGCACTGATGCTGTGCTGCTTGTGCCAAACATCTGTGTCACCCATTAATTGGATGTTGACTTTCTTTATAGCCAGGTGATCCACAGAGTCACAGGGACTGGCTTTAGGGCCAGACAAAATCCTTCAGAACAGGCTGCACACACAATGGGCTGGAAGGACCATTCCCCAGGGAATGCCTGCCTGACCTGGAGGGGCTGCACACTTGGCAGGACAAGGCCAGGTTCAAGGCCAGGTTGGACAGGGCTTGGAGCAACCTGGGAGAAGGGAAGGCAGGAGGCTGGAACTGGATGAGCTTTAAAGAGCCTTTGAACCCAAATCACTCTAGGATTCTGTGATAGTCTTGCAAGGGCTAGTGCACGATGAGCTGGTTGTGTGCAGAGCTGTGTGACAGCCCTGTTGTCACTGATTTATTATAGCTGTAAGAATTCCAACCTCTGCATATTCCAGCATGAGCAGCTAAACATGAACTGTAGAATTCTAAACCATATCCTTTTTTTCAAAGCCAGAATTTACATTACCTCCTATTAAATAGTAGTGACAACAAGTAGATTTTTCCAACTACTAAGTCATATTGAATATGCATTTTGAATTCCATAAAAAGCAAGACTTATAGATCTATTGCACAAAATGTACATTTATACACACAGTGCAGATACTTTCAACACTCAGATATCAAGTTACTCCTTTTAAAATGGAGCTACACAAATGCAAACTTAACTTTCAGTCTCTATTACAAGATACTAGACTGATAGAGAAGATTTTCAGCCTGGAAAATTCTTTTTGGTTGAACTTCTGCCAGGATTAATCCCCTTTCAATTAATCATTTACATGAATGGACAATCTGCAGAGTTCATGCAAGGCCTGCAAACTATATTAATTGCTAGAAACCTAATTACAAATCAACAGAGTCATAGGATCAGTGTTACCTCCATACGGTACCATCTGGTACAATGGAGCTGGATAGCTCAGCAAAACTCCCCACTCCATTCTGTGGAACCTCAACCTGAATGTGTGTTGCCAGAGAGAGCAAATTTATACAGATATAAGAGCTGGTTATAAAGCATTTTTAGGGCCATCTTTAATGACAGCATCCAATCCCTGTATTCTGGTTGCTGTTTCAAAAGTTACTTCCAAAAAAGTATTTGTTCAACACTTTTCTTTTTGAATGTGATACCAATGCTGTCATAACTTGCCTTTCCACATCCAAAAATACCCTAAATCCATACAAAAGGTAATGAAAAAAATCACTAAACAAGAAAATATGAAAACATGTCTACCATAAAAAGCTTTCATTAAAGGTATTATGCGTACTGTGATTTGCTTCACTAATTATTACTCCAATTTAAAAGCTATGTCCAGAAATTCCAAAAATGACAGGAACATGGCACAGTGCAGCCTCTATTAAAATTTAATTTTACCAATACATTTTCTCTTTCAGCAAATGGTCAGTTTGAAAGTTTTGACCAAAACCTATCAATCTCATTTTATACCATGTAGCCATACAAAAATTCAGGTCTTTGAAATCTCAACCTGTATGGGTTTATATCCAGACCTTCAAAACTATTTTGAACCAAGGTCACATAAAATCCAGCATTCTTTCCACAAACAATGATTGGTCAATTGACTTTTCAAAGGAATTCAAATGAAATTTTCAAGAGTTAGCTATATTTCACCCCTGAGGTTCACTCATTGGAATTGAGATTAGCCACACTAAGTAAAATTGAGTAGTTTTGTCCAAAGTTTGGCTCCAGTTCTCCCTGATTAATTCCCAGATTTCCCTTGGGAATGAGAATGCTATGTAATCCACCTTGTCTCTCCAAATTCTCTCAAGAACAGTAGTAAATGTAATGCTTTTCCACTGAACAACCAATCATGTTGCAACC